CCCATTGCTTCATAATTACATTCATGTAAAGCACAAGCAACAGATAAGAAGTTTGGTAAACCTGATTTAAGAACATCATATGTATCAACTAAACCTAAAAATCCAGTTGGAAATGCAATTGCATATGAAATAAATGCAGCTAATTCGCCTTTATTTGTTTCTTCGGGAATAAATTTAAGTTTTGGACCAAGTTCATTAAGATATTTTAAACATAAATCAACAAATGGTCGCAATTCACCACTATGACAATCAGCTAATTCTCGAATTTTTAAATCATCAAGATTTTTATATGAACTAACATATGCATGTGCATGTGTTCCTTTTATAGGAATTCCATAGAGTTTTCCTGCTAATACATTTGATGTTCCATCAAATCCACCTAAATAACAATATTTCGATGCACTTAAACCTCCATCTGGACCTTGAGCACGTCGAAGACCAAATTCATGAAAAGATTTATCAGGTCCTGTTGTCGCACGAAATCGAGCTGCATTTGTTGCGACTAAACTTGCATAATTAACTAATGTTAAAAGAGTTGTTTCAAGTAATTGACCTTTTAATATAGGTCCTTCGATTCGTAATAATGGTAAACGAGGAAATACTACCGAACCTAAATTTAAAAAAATATGAAATTATAACACTCGCTCAGCTCTTTCTCGTAGAAACGATGTGTCTTCACTACCAGTAAACTATTTATTCAAAAACTGACTTCAGATTCGAAGTCCTTGCATCGAGATACCTCTAGAAATGTTTTTTTGACCCTGCGGACATACAATCAAGAAATCAGACAATTTATGTTTACTGGACTCTTCTCTACGAGAAAGAGAATTATTTGTTACCTTCTGGGAGAGCATAAATTTTGATATCATTCATATTAAGTACGCTTAAATAATCGTAGAATTCTTTTTCAATATAATTTGGTAATGTTGTTCGAAGATAATCAATATCACTCGATTGAAATTTATAATTATTTATAAATTTTAAACATTCTTCTAAACCAGCAAATAAAGTAAATTCACCACCAAATGCTAAAAGGAAAAAAATATTTCTCTTTTATTAATTTAATAAAATAATTTACGATTTTTTCGAAAATAAAGATCAAA